GGTTGGCAGAGTGTGTGAGTGTGTGTGGGGGGGATGCAAGACAAGGGGACAGTTATGGGGCAGGGGCGGCCCCAGCAGGGGCGGTCACGGGCGTGTGCAAGTGTCGAGTTAGGGTTGCAAGTCGGTGGGCTGGGTGAGTTGGTGAGGGCGCAGCTGGGGTGCAATCACGCGGGGTGGTTGCGGCTGCAAGGTGGGCAGCCCTGGTTGATGAAAGGACACACAGTCTGATGGGGCTGGCCGGCACGGCGGACGAGTGGTCGAGCGGCCGGGCGCAGATAGGGGCTCAAAGGACTCACGACACGCCGTGGGTGGAAGGGGCTGACTTCGGTGCCCCAGCCTGCGGGCAGGGGCCGCTGTGAACGAAGACGTCTTCCCCCCCCATCCCGCGGCCCCACCTGGCGACGAAGAATACGATGCGGCCGCCGCTGAACACCGGGGTGATGACGGTGATGTCCGGGAGGTGGGAGCCGCCGGCCAGCTGGGGGTGGTTTGACAGCAGCACGTCCCCCTCGGACAGGCCCTCGCCCTCGCCGGGGCCGCCGGGGCCGTAGTAGCGCACCTGGGAGGGTGGGGCGTGGGGGTGGGGGAGATGGGACACCGGGTGGGGGTGGGTTACAGTGTGGCTGTGTGCGCGCGTGCCTGCTGTGCATGTGTGTGTGCGCACACAACGCGTTTGTGTTCGCGTGTGGAGGTATGTGCAAGCACGTGGGCGGGGCGATCGAGGGGATGCAAGCCAGGGCCATGTTCGTGCCAGAACAAGCGGCTGGCGCCGACCGCGCGCACACCCAAGTGCGGGGATAGGAGCCCACAGTGCGATAGGGTCGCAGGCGAGCAGAATGTGCATCCCCCCCTCGCCCACCTGGAACCTGACTGCCTCGCTCATGGCGCCGAGGTGGACCGGCAGGTGAGGCGCGTTGGCGACCTGCGGCGCGGCGCGGCCGTTGGAGGGGTGCTCGCGGTCGTGATGACATGCACACACGCACGCGCTGGGGCCACCCTTCCCGCAGAGCGAGCCATCGGGCGCCAAGCGCCTGCCGCTGAACGTCCCGCTCCTGCAATCACCTATCCACATCACCACGACTAATCGCAGCCGGACCCGTCTCTCAGCTTCCTTCAGGTGCCTACACTGGCTGGCGGCCCTGCATGTCACGACCGCCATGAGGCGTGTGACCCCTGCCCCACACATTTCCCCGGTGCCCCCGCCCCCAGTGCCCCCACCAGGCTCCCGTCTGGGCCGAAGAGTGCACAGCTGAAGTCCAGCCTCTCCTTGATGTTGACGCTGATGGACGTGCGCTGCAGCACGCGGCCCATCTGCTCCGCGATGCCCATGAATCTGGTGTGTTTTTGGTGTGTGTGTGTGTGTGTCCGTGCGTGTGTGTGTGTGATTTCAGTAGAGGCGAGGGTGAGGTGCGGGACCGGAGCGGAGGCGTGTCACGCCAAAGGTTGTCTGCGGGCCGAAAACAGCAGGGCGCAGAGGCAGGTTTCGGGGTCCACATTCAAGGCAAAGTGCTGATGCACACACAAGGATCCAGGGCGCACAAGGCATTTTGGTAAGGTTTGGGCGTGCGCGGCGCGGGCGAACAAGGCACTGCGCGCCCGCCGCCCACCGGTGAGAGAAGATGGCGAGCTGGATCGGGTCGCATTCGACATCTGCCACCGCCGCCTGCCCATCTTCCGCCGCCGCCCCGTCCTCCCCGAGGCCGTCCACAGCGGCCGCGCGGTCCAGCCGCACGTTGCCTTCAGCAGTTACGAAGGCGTCCCACCCGGGCTCGACCACGATGGTGCTGATCTGATCTATCAAGATCGCGGGCCCCGGCACAACGTGGCCGGCCGCCAGCGCGCTGAGGCCGTACGCGGGCGTCGGCTGTCGGCCGCCGGATTCGAAATACGCGCTAGCCACGACGAGTGGCTCGGGCAGGGGCCCGGGCGCGGCGGCGGCGGCCTGGGTTGGCGAACGAGGGGGGGAGCGCGGGGGGCGAGCGGCATGAGAGGTGCGACAGGGGCAGAGAATGGGCGGGGTGGGGCTTGGATTGTGTGCGCGGCCGGCGCGGGTTGCCTCGACTTTAGGCGCCCAGAGATTGATGGCGCCCGCTTTGGGCCCCAAATCAACAACGCGAATAAATTGGATTGGATGGGATTGCATTGGATTGGCTCAGATGTAGGGCCGCCCATTCTCAAGGTGACCACTGCTGGCTCTTGAGCCGCTCCCTTGCAAGGACGCCCACTCTGGATACAACAACGCCACAGAGCAGCCTGTGAACCCCCAACCCCTCCACCTCAACCCTGCCACCCCCGAACCCCCCCAACACCTCCAGCCTCAGACCAAAAGCTCGTCCCGCCACCCACCCGCGCGCCGGGCAGCTCTGCGGACCGCCCCGTCGCGCGCACGCGCACGTCGTCCACAGCCACGGGCCGCTGCAACACAAATCCAAACTCCCGCTGGTACGCGGCCGCGAAGGCGGCGGCGGGGTCGCCGCCGGCGGATGGGGGGGCGGAGGGGTCCCACGGCGTCATGACGGCAACGTCGGTGCCCTGGTACCTGTCGATATTCAAATTTGAATTTGAGGGGGGTTGCGGAGTACGGATAGGGGTGGAGTGGGGGGGGGGGCGCGCTGAGGGCCTGACCAATCAGAGGGGCGGTGAGCCTGCGCCTAATCATGAGGGGGGGTCCGGTCTGTTGGTGGGCCGACGGGGCGTGCACACGAACGGTTCAAATCAGATAAGCAGTTTGACGAGAAGGGGCGAATGTCCGCAGACCACCCAAAATGCGCACGTGCACCTTCGGCGGGCGTCCCGCGCGACACCCGAGCCCTGCGGCGGCCCCGCCGCCCGCCCGTCTGCGGCCCGCGAACCTGAGGTTTAGGAACCGCTCCACCTTGATCTGGGACGGCCCGAAGCCCTGGCCTTCCAGCTTGGCGGTGGCCTGGGCCTGCAGGGCGTCCAGGCGCGAGGCCAGCTGCTGCAGCACCTGGGGCGTGGGTGAGGAGGGACGCGAGGCAGGGCCGGTTTGAACAACAGAGCCGTGCCGCCGACAAGTTTGCGAGCGGCAGACGAGCGGGCAGCAGCGGCCGCCTGCCAGTTGGGGTTTGGCTCTGGAGCCCGCATTCCGTGACCCGCGGGGGCGCGGCCGCCCCTGCCTCACGCCGGGCCGCGAAAGGCGCGACAGCGGCCTCCGCCGCGCCGCTGCGGGCCGCGATGCCGCGGGGCCCGCGCACCTCGTCGCTGCCAAGGGCCACGGCCGCGGGCTCCTGGGCCTCCTGCACTATGTCTGCCAGGTGGATGCCCACGGCCGACAGGATGCCCGCATACCTTCAGGGTGGGGTTGGGGTCGAGTCGCTTGGATTGGGTCGCATGCAGGTGTGCTGTTTGGCTCTTCACTTGCACAGGTGCATGTGTGGGACCGGCAAGAAGCGGGCAAGCTTCCAGCCCCTAGGGGGAGGCCGCCCTGCTGTTGTCATGAACGCAGCCAGCGGCGTGGATGTCGCGCAGCAGCCGCGCCGTTGCGCGCGGGGCTGATTCTCGCGGGGCCTCGGGGAAACCACGGCTGGTGCGGGGCCGCTGGTGCCCACCTGTGCACGAAAATGGTGCTCATCCCCAGGGTTGTCGCTATCGCGCACGCGTGCTGGCCGCCGGCGCCCCCAAAGCAGGCCAGCACGTGGGCCGCGGCGTCGTAGCCCTTCATCTGCAGGTAGGGGGGTTGGGGTTGGGATTGGGATGAGTGGGGAATGTCGCTCCCTTGGGGGTGGGGGCTGAGCAGGGAGCGGCTCTAGGGTTGGGGCTGCAGTGGTGACATGTTGCCCTGCATTGTTGAGACATTTACTTACGCCCACGCGCATATATCCCTGCTGTATAAATCGCTATCACATCCATCCCGCTTGTCCTAGAGTGTGGGCACAAACAAATACAACGGAAACCATGACCTCGGCCACCTCAAGCGCCCCACTCAAACACCCAAACGTGCGCCCACCTGCGTCAACGCGCGTATCGGGCGGCACATCGCCTCGTTGGCGACCTGCACAAAACCCATAGCCACCTCGTCAACCGTCTTGGCCGCCTTGCCGGCCGCCTCCTCGTGGGCATTCACCTCCTCCGTCAGCGCCCCCAGGGCTGCTGCAGTGCCGGCCGCATCCAGCGGCTCGTTCTGTGGGGGATAGGTCATGTTGGGGTGGGCGTGGGTGCGCGAGGGCTGCTCAGAGGCGAATGGGTGCGTGGTGTGCGTGGTGCGCGGGAACGCGCAGGGTGCTGCTTTGACCCACATCCATCCCTGGGCTCCGCGTGTCCTAGGGGATTTACTGGTTCCATCTGATGCCTTCCCCTAGCTCACACATGCGCCCATCAGCATGGTGCACCCCTGGCTCAACACGTGCGCGCCCGAAGACAAGCACACACATACGCAAGTACTTGCACGATAATTGGTGGCTTGTTTGGCTCACTCCACACACACGCAACCAGATGCGGTGCCGCTTGCACCCGTAGCAGTGTGGCGTTCGGCCATCGCATCGCATCCGTCGCTCCCTCTGTCCCTCTCTCTCACAACTGACACACCCATGCACTGTGCACATGCACACGGCCACCCAAAACATACGGACACACACACGCAATGGCGGGTGGCAACCCCAACCCCCACGCATCCCGGCCCACCTCCCCAGGTCCAAATATCTTGGGAAAGAAATCCGGCAGTATCCGCCCCAGCGCCAGGTTGGCGTCGGTTATGGCCAGGTGTCCGCCCTTCTTGTAGCAGACCGGCCCCGGGTGGGCGCCCGCGGAGTCTGGGCCGACCGCGAAGAGGCCGGCGCGGAAGTGCAGGCGGGAGCCGCCGCCGGCGGCGACTGTGTTGATGTCGAGCTGGGGGGCCTGAAGGTGTGTGGATTTGGGGGGGGATGAGGGTGGGAGGTGGGCTTGGGTTGGTTGCAGCTTTCTGATGATGCTGGACACGATGGTGGGGCCTCGAGATGAGGGTTATAAAACACGGCAGAGAGGTGGGGGCCTGCAGTGATGCTTTGGAAACGAGGGTGCACTGCATGCAGACCCAAGGCCGCGCGTGCGCGCTGCAACAGACTGCTTGCCAGGACATGCTCAGGGCCCGCGATGACGTCATCTCGCACCTGAATGGTGACCCCGGCCGTTGTTGTTTCAAACACGTGCTCGTACGTGCCGGCGTAACGGGACACGTCGGTTGATGTACCGCCCATGTCGAAGCCAATCACCTGGACCCAGCCGGGGGAAGATTGCGTTTTGAGCACTCGCAAGCGCGTTCGTGGTGAATTTTCTTGTACACGCGTGTCTTGTAATGTACACACGTGTGCGTGCGTGTGTGCATTTGTGTACGTGTCTGTTTGTGTCTGTGTGTGTGAGTGTGTGTGTGTGTGTGTGTGTGTGTGTGTGCATGCATTTGCACAGGCGTGCATGTAAGGTGTGAAGGTGAGATGATTACTTCCTGCTGGACCACGCATGAGGGCAGGCAGCCAGCTTGAAATCCAGTGTAATCCCAGGATGCCATGCCAGGCCCAAGGGCACGCACAGCGAGGAGCATGTGGCGACCCGCCCGACCGAAGACGTCCCATAATCAAAGGCGCGCCTGCGGCCCACCTGCATGCCGACGCCGTCCTCTGCCCCCTCCTCGCCGCCGCCGCGCGCGCCGTGCCAGCGCGTCGTGAGCGCATAGCCGACGTAGCCGCCAGCCGGGCCGCTGAGGATGGCCTTGTGGCCTGAGAACCCATCAACTGAGGCCAGGCCGCCGTCCGACTGCATGAAGAGGACCTAACAAAGTGTGGGGGGGATGATGATCGTACTGATATGTTATAACGTGATGTTCTAAATCGTGAACTGGAATGTCCAACGATTTTGTAACAAGTGAAGGAGGGGAGTGTTGGGAGCTACCCAGCGGCAGGCGCAGCGGGCAGGGTGGTGACGAGCGTGGGAGGTGTGGGGTGGAGCAAGCGGCGGTCTCTCAATCGCCAGCAGCTCCATCCGTCCAGGCACCCGATGCATTTGTTCAGTCGGCCGAGCAGCAAGGACAGCTGCCGGCACAGCGGGCCCCACCCATACGGCCCGGACCCCGGCCAGGCACCACTCAACTCGATTAAATGTCTCAGTGTCCTGGCCCACGGCCATCACAGGACCCCCAGCCACCAGCCAGCCGCGTGCCCCACAAGCCGCTAGGACCACTTCCCCCAAACTCCCCGCCTCGCCCCC